TCCAATGTGTTTTTTTTCCAGTGAACCAGGATTTCGACCGCTCGACGTCAAGCGGTCGAAATCCTCCTTGCCTATCGGTGTTTCACATTCAATAAGCGCTTGTACCTCGCATGTGTATCTGGGCTTTTGACTACCTAAGCCTATCTGCAGTAAGTAAAATGCTTTAAAATAGGAGAAGCAAATTCTTCAGCCCTTAAAGTTCCTGGCGTGCGGTGCGATCCGAAGATGCCAAAAATTCCGCACATTTCGATTGAAAACGACCACTTTCAGGGTTTATACTTATAGTCACTATAAAAGATGTTTTAAAGAGGGAAGCACTCTAGAGTTCGCGTGAAAACCAAGGTATTGACCGTTAAAGAAAGCCGCTAAAGCGAATTTTAAGCACACTTTTTTTTACATATTTCGAAAACTAACCGTCCGATTTTCATTTTTTTAGGTCTGCTCCCCCCCCCCTCCCTTTTTCATAAGGAAGTGGGAGTTTTTTTAGCTACTGTACTTGTAGCTACAGCCTCGTAAGCCTGGTGTAGCTCCTCTTAAAGTATCAGCAGAGGGAGAGGGATGGAGGCGAGTGTATCCAGCCGCAAATTTTAAGGGGCTTAACTTGCAATAATAGTTCAAAAACTGAAATACAATTGCGCCAAAAGAGTTATTATTCGTCCATTTTCAACTTCCAAATGATGCACAACTTGCTCTGGTGGGTCCCCCCCCCCCCNCCAGATCCCCCACTCGACGTTAGCAAATGCCCCCCCCCTTTTCGACTCACTCTGGATCCGCCACTGCACTGCTTAGATGGTTAGTACGGGGTCTTTTGTAGACTTATTGTTAGTACGGTTTGGTCGACCAAACTTTTGGCAGACTCAACCGTGCCGCTGCTGGCTGGTGCATAAACTCTTATGTCTGGCGCCTAAATCAGCCAGGAGGATAGTTGGGATTGTTTCCGTGAAAAAGAGGCAATTTTTCTTCACCTGACAACTAGGCCTCCTGGGCCTTTAAAATAATTGAAGGCCACGACGGGCTAGGTGTAGAAGTCTTGGGCGCTGATTGGGAGAGCCCTGCAATTTCGGGACCGTCACTTCCGTTCTGCGGAAGAGTTTAAGTGGAATTTGATTCGAGCTCAATAGTCACTCGCTTGACCCGCAATCAAAGTCAAGGTCAACCGTGAAAATTTACGCATTGTTATTTCTTCAAACCTCCAACAAGCTACAACGAATGGAAATATTCTGTAAGTGTTTAATGGAAGTATTTAAAAGAACCTATAATGACTGATCTAATACCACACCGAAAAACAAGATTTTTTTATTTTAAAAAAAAAACCTTGGGTTTTGATTTTAGAAAGATTCAAATAAGCGTCGGAGAGGGTATCCACCCCTGGTAAAATATGGATAGAGGGAGCCCAAAAACAGATTGAAAGATGCCAGCTTCTGAAACATTTCTACCACAACACACAGAAAAAAAGTTACAGACTATATAGACATACCGTCCATTCCGGGCTCGGAGGCCGAAAGTTTCGGGTACTAGATCCGTAGCTTCGATAGAATAAATAAAAAAATGCTCCTATTGGTGATGGATGAATATCTCGGTAAGAACTTTGCCATGTGAATTTTTCAAATTAATTTGGGGTGGCTAAAGAAATCGCTCTATTCTTTCATCCGTCATCATAAAACGGATTAGACCGTTGATCTGAAAATGATACAAATGGGGAAGGTATCAGTGTGGGGTCTCTAGAATATATTGTTCCTATTCGCGTATGTGTAAAATTTCAATGGAAAAACGTGTATTTTGATTCTGTTTCTAACCTCGTCTAGCGCAACCTTGTGTAACTAACAAACTCGAGGAGGAAAAGAAGGGAGTAGGAATAGGGGAGCGCTACACTTTCTTCAAACCAGAACTCCCCAGTTGGTTTACCTTTGACGGAATTTACTGGCGGCCTTGAGAGGCATTTCAATGCGGTCTGCTGCGATTATTTAAAGCTCCGTTTATTCATGTGCAATACCCGTTGCTCGGATGATTGGATCCACTCCCGAAGGCGGGCGGGGAGGGGGGAGAGGTCCTGACTGCTCCCGCGCTTGCCAGGTTTGATAGTTTTTCATTCAGACGCTTTAAAATTTAAAACCAGTTTCAGATGCCATCGGAAAAAAAATTGTACTCACTATTCAGTGACTACTGAACATCATGAAGGTGTGGAACTATAGTTAAAATTGGGCGTATTCGATCGGAATCAGTCTATATTTAACTGAATTTTAAAGTGTCTAATTTCAATGATGATCTAATCACTATCTAATTTCAGTGATTTAATTTTTAATCGGAACACTAAACAAAAGAACGCCTTGAAAAATTCAAGTTTTTTTTTCCAGTGCATAATAAAAACTGACTAAATTTCGATGTAAAATGTCGTTTGGTTTTCGTGCGAAAGAAAATATAACATGAAAGATATTGGACAATGACTGAAGTAGTTAAAAAGGAATACATTTTGGAATGAGGAGCTACTATTCCCGACTCATCTGAGAAACAAGATACGTGCCGTTAGAGTCCCTATACAGAAAGGTGCTTTGATAGGTAGCCAAAATTTGTAGTTTTTGATTGCAAAATGACGTGAAATTGACTTTGTTTAAATCCATCCACTTGGACTTCATTTTGCAATTAGGTAGAGCCTTAAAACAGGCGAAAAAGCATGGGCGTAACGTGCTTTGAGATACATCGATTGATCTACCATTTAAACCTATGGAAAAGGATCGATAAACAGGGTGCTCGTTGAGAACACCTTATTAATCGATTCTTTACCAAAGTTTCAAATGGGGAAACATCAAAAATCGATCATTCATGCCTGGTTACTGATGCGGAAAAAAACTTTTTGAGAGGCTCTTAAAGGTTTCGTTAAAGTTTTATTGGCAACACAGCAACGGGTTGAGCGAGTTTTTTCGAGCGCGGTTCGCCGATTAGTGGAGTGGTAGGCGTATTTGTAAATAAATTGAATTTGCTGATCGTTTAACACCCTTTAGAGGCAATTGAAGGTCTTTCAGTTTTCAACTTGGTAGTTTGAAATGCACACGAGTTGATGTGCAGCTTTGTAGTGAAGAATTTTTTACAATGCTTTCACTGGGAAAAAAGCACATTGGATCTAGAGTCCAGACTCTTAAAAACATCGACAAGAAAAAATACTCTTGATTCAATCGGATTTTTGCTTGAATCAAAACGAAATCCGCTTGAATTAAGAGGCTTGGTCCTTGATATAAGCTAGATTCTGATTGAATCAAGAGTCCTTGTTCTTGTCAATGTTTTCAAGAGTCTGAACTCTAGATCCAAGGTGCTTTTTCTTTTCCAGTGTTAAAATCAAATGCAGTTCATGGACTAAACAATCAATAATTTTACCTTTTTCGGAACATTGTCCGATTTCCTAAAAAAATTTTAAACTCATAAACCTGGAACAAAAACCTTAAAACTCATTTCGAAAAATGAAAATATGCAGCGATTGTAGAACTATGGAAACTGCTATTCGGATTGTGTTCATTCAAAATCGTTTGTCTATCAAAAATTTGATTTCACGCTTTTAAAACCACCTATTGCGACACAAAAGGAAAAAAAAGAAGAAGAAAAAAGATTGCCATTCGTATTTGATTTTCCCCAGGAGAAAAATTATCCCGTATTTTTGAGTGAAATTCTTAGAGCATATCCGTTAAAAAGTTAGAAAAAATCACGAGGAATTTTGTGAAAATTCATCAAATGAACGTATTTATGCTAAAAGGAACCATGTTGCACGCAAAACCTATGCACATAGTTCCTTCTAGCATAGATACGTATTCTATGTACCCGGAAAATTTGCCTCCGTTGGGTCAAATTCCCCTTGCTGTGGACGGTAACAAAGCGACACAGACGGAAATTTGCAATGCTTCAAGTAAGGATAACGCGTTTTTTGGACTTCACCGAGTAGATTATAGGTGCAGCGAGACTGCAATGAAACCATTTAACCATTAATGTAACACGTTTTTCTCCTATTAATGGGCTAGGTCTAGCATGGGCAGAATTGGTTATGAGGCTGCCCCCACCGGAGTTCTGCTTGACCTATCCTTCGGAAAATATAAGTTTTTCGACATATCTGCGCATGACATTCCTGTTATCACTAAACTTTTATTTCAAAACAGTTCTCACTAAATACATCTCAAAATTGCTCTTGAACCGTCTCAATTTTCAAAATTTTTATGGAGAGCCCCAGAACCACCCTTAAAGCTGGGGTAGTCCCCCCAACTCTCCATAGAGAGTGCTTTACTGTGCCCCTTTGACCTCCCTCGACGAAATGCTCTTCTATGTCCACCACAAGAAATTCCCAATTCCGCCTTCCTGAGCTTGTCCAAACCTCAAGTCGTAAGCAGAAAATTAGCTTTATGCTAACCTCTGCGATATACAGTGATCGTCACACTGGAAAAAAGTCGCTAGGATTTCAGAGTCCAGACTCTTAAAAACATTGACGAGAAAAAATACTCTTGATTCAATCGGACTTTTTGCTTGAATCAAAAGGAAACCCGCCTAAATCAAGAGGCTCGGCTCTTCGATTCAAGGAAAAATCTGATTGAATCAAGAGTATTTTTTCTTGTCAATGTTTTTAAGAGTCTGGACTGTAGATCCAAGCTCCTTTTTTCCGGTGCAGTATTGCCTGATAGAGCTGGCAAATCAGCAATTTTCTCCACTGAAACCCGTGTAAAAAGCCCACATTTCATTCCACAACCTGGCAACCTCGGGGAAAAAAACACATTGGATCTGGAGTCCAGACTCTTGAAAACATTGAAAAGAAAAAATACTCTTGATTCAGTCAGGATTTTACTTAAATCAAAAGGAAATCCGCTCAAATTAAGAGGCTTGGTTCTTGATTTAAGCAAAAATCCGATTGAATCAAGAGTATTCTCTCTTGTCAATGTTTTTAAGAGTCTGGACTCTAGATCCAATGTGTTTTTTCCCCCAGTGAATGACAGTCAGACGGATTTTGAGTTTTGATGGTAACAACTCACCGACTCGTGCACGGAGCAGCTAACCAAAGGGACACAATAATCCTTCGAGCCACAACACACACAACACGGACCCGCTGAAACTCGAATTAGGCGCAGCGTCGCGCGGGTAGCCTACTCGTCGGGGGCACTTTCTAACCAAACAATCAACTAACAACACGAGCCACGGCCACAGACGAGCGAGAAAGACTGAGCAAAGAGGCACTCGTGCCGAATGTGTGCACAAGAGAAGTTACGCGGGTGGCCTAAACGGCCAGGGGCATGAGACACCGGAGTTGAAGTGCAGAAAACAGCGGGGGACCCTGAGGTAGGGGGGCGGGAGAAATTTGCATGCAAGCACTTGAGCTGTTATCACCGGCTCTTATTCTTTTTATCAGCTCCGATGACACTAGAGCTGCTTCGCTAATCGTTCCCGACTGCCTACCGCGGCGCTAAACCTAGTGTCCCGCTCTTCGCTGACACATCACTCTCGTCACACTATATTAGCCACCCGCGCAGCTGAGTCAGCTTTTGGCGAGGCAATGGGCCAATGGGCAGGGTCTGAACTAGAAATAAGACAGGATCTAGTAATAGAGACCTTATCTTACAGAAGGATACTTTCCTCAAATTTTTGCAAACACTAATACATATATACCACGTTTTTCTACAACCTGGGAAGCTCTGTCTTGAGACCTCAGGGCTAATATCTCCTTCAATATCTGAGCTTTCAGGCAGGGCCGGATTTACCAATAGACTATATAGGCTGTAGCCTAGGGCGCAACATTCTGAGGGGCGCAACATTTTTAAGAATTTTTGTTTTGTTTTTTTTTTTAATTTAATGAGTCTTTTGTTTCTTTTTATTTTCCAAAACCAACTTACAAACGTGAACGTACCTCAAAACTGTATGAAATCGTGTTTTTTTAAAGGTGAATTGGAACATTTTCCTGGCATCTAACATCCTCCTTCTGATCTGGAGGGGAGAGGCGTCTAGAGACCCCTCTCCTACTTTTAAGGGCGCCACCCAAAGTTTAGCCTAAGGCGCTAAAAATGTAAATCCGGCCCTGCTTTCAGGTCAAACCTACACCACTCAAGTATATTTTGGGGTCTCATAACATGTCAAAAATAGCTCTTCTGGAAGGCTATTTGTGTTCGTGTGTTACTTTTGGTTAAAATAGGAAGTGAAACCAAAACCAACACAAATGTGTTGATATTGGTACAGTTTGCGGTGAATTTAGCGCAGAAAACAATGGATATATCGTACTGGGAAAATGCATTCCTCCGATTGCGACGTTGGTATTCACCACTCGTTTTTTTAAGGAAATTTCCTCAAGAAAACTAACTGGCATTTTCTCTTGAAATGGACCACTAGACAAGGTACGAATTTAAGCAATCTGATACATGTTTCTTAACCAGAATTTCACGTAGAACACGATTCACACTATGAAAATTACCGAAATCAACTTCTAACGAAGATATTAACGTTTTTATTTCACACTGATTACGAGGAATTTGAACTGCCCGCTCACAAGAAACTCAAAGCTCTACGTGAGTCAAATCTCGCACTACAACGGTTTCAGCAAGCTTCTCAATCGAGCAATGTTCATTTTCCACCATGTGTTGTTCAAACTATCGGTAATTTGCTATAGCTGAGCCAAAGTGTCAAGATTGAAGTTGAAGATTTTTGTATCGCAGAGACTGTCATGATAAACATTTAGCGCGCGATGTGAATCACGTAGAGCATTGAGTTTTCATGAGCGGGTGGTTTGAATTCACGCATCAAGAATCATTAAATATCTTCGTCAGGAGTTGATTTTGGTAATTTTCGTTGTGCGTATCGTGTTCTACGTGAAATTTTGATTGAGAAACTTGTATCAGAATGCTGAAATTCGTACCTTGTCTAGTGGTCCATTGTCGACAGAGAGCTAGGGTTGTTATGTGATTTACTTCCCGTATTAACCAAAATTTTGACATCGAACCCCCTGAGAAAAGGACTAGGACCTATTCTGCCATGCTATGCTTAGGAAGAACGCCGTAAGAACATTCAAGAGTTGCCAAATTTCCCCAGTTAAAACAATAATTTTTTTGGGGAACTTTGCAATTAATTTCTTAAAATTTTCAGATATTTTAGATTAAATTGCAAATAAAAATGTCTGAAAAATTTAAGATAAATTTTCACAATTTTTCAGTAAATTCGTTTTTTTTTTATAGAAGGAAATATGGCGATGTCTTAAGGCTTATACGGCCCTCTTTCTTAGCGCAGCAGTATGCTGCCGTGCTAAGGAAGAGCGCCGTATAAATACTCGAGAGTTGCCAAATTTCCTTCGATAAAATGTTCATTTTTGAGGAAAATTGTGATTATTTTTCCTTGAAATTTTCAGAAGTTTTAGATCAAATTACAAACAAAGTTATCTGAGAAATGGGTAGGCAAATATTCAAAAATTTTCCTGAAAATTAGTGATTTGCCAGGAGAAATTTGACAACGCCTAAAGCCTCATACGGCGTTCTTCCTTAGCACGGCAGTAATGATGCTGCACCTCAGTGAGACCACTCTAGGACCCACCTCTTGAGTCGTTTTCCATGCAGCCTTGCGGGCTGATTATTGAAATTGATAGGCAAAGCGAAAAAAAAAAAAATCAGACGATAAAATCAGATTTTCCAGGTTTTCAAGAGACCTGTCCCACGTAGCATTTCCAGTTACCTGTTTGGTTGTTCAACAAAATATACGAGAATGAGGCAAAACTTTGACTAAAGCAGCAATGCTGCTTGAATCTGTTGGCATCGATATCAGGATTGTCGACAACAGCAGTGCTTTATCAGTCGAAGATCTCGTTAGGGCGCATTTGGTAATCAGTAATGATAGTGAAGATTATGGAAATAAGGAAAGCCACGCGCCAGCCCCAACCCGATAAAACCAATAACGACCGCAGGGACACCAACACCAACAGCCATCGTCGGCAGCCTTCGAAAGTTTTTCTGCCAACATCGTGTCGAAGTGGACGAGAGTGTGGTCACCGGTTTTCAGAATCTATCAGCATTAAATTTCAGACATGCTCAAGACCAAAAAATGATCAAGGATTGTTTGAAGTTTTTCTTAAAATTTTAAGATTCTTCTTAGCAGTCGAACTTTTAGTTATTTAAATCTTCAAAAACACGTTTCACCGAAGGACATCAGAAGTCACGAGAACGCAGGTACGTTATCTTACATTAGTTTGATATTCGTTGTTTAATGGTTTATTTTACGTTCACATGCTCGCCTTCAAAGTGGATAGGTAGGCAATTTCTCGACCTAGGAGCACGTTGATTTGTATCCTGTTTTACATACCACCAAAAAAGCGGCGCGCGGCGTGGTGTCCATACTACGTTCATCTGTTTGCCTTCACTGTACATGGATAGGCAATTTCTCGACCTACGAGCACGCTAATTTGTATCCTATTTCGCCGTACTTTTTCCCGTCATTTTCATAATCCTTGATCTTCATTATGGCGCGACGCGACGCCTTGCCACCTATCATCCGTGCTCTCTAACTTTTATGCTAGGTTCTATCACCTCTTAACACAACAAATTAAAACTTCAAATGCTGGTTTTGGAGATCTTACAGCTTGGATACTATGGGCCAAAAGACGAAGTGCGAATTTAAGCCATCTGTTTCAAGTGTTCAAATCAAACTTTTACGTAGATATAATAAGATTCGCGCATCAAAAACTACTAAAATGCACTTCTAGGCAAGATATTACTGTTTTTCGATGCATAAAATCATACTTCCCGCTCTTGAAAACAATCGAAATCTATATCCTTGAGTCGAGTCGCCCACTAAACGTTGCCGTAACAGTCTCCGTGAAAAGTAAAAAAAAAATCAGGGAGACTGCTGGAAGAACTGCAACAGGCACTACCTCCAAAATGGAAATCCGGAAGGAAACTTCGTCACTAGTTGCATGCGAATTCGATGGTCACGCGATTTTCCCCTATACTTAAACTGGAGCGATCCTGAGCAAAGTTTGAACTTTCATTTAACTTTTGAGTTAGAGCAACTCGATTTTTCAGCGGACCCGCTATGATCATAGTGGTGGGTTATTATAAGCCTGAAAAGTTCTAGGAAATCGTTTGTAAACTCTGAAGTGTTCACACTTCATTATCACTAAAATGTTTATGAAACCATTCCAAATCTGAATGAATGGAAATAAACTTCGCCGATGAACTCAAGCAAAGATAAATAACACAAAGGCGTAAATTAATATCCCTAATAAAAAGTAATTTATTTTGTCTCTATTACTTTTATCACTTAGTTATCTATTTTAGTTCGTTGATTTATATTTCGGTTCAGTCCGCGGTTTATATTTTTTTCGTGCGTCTGACCTATAAGAATGTTTATATTTCACACTGGAAGCTAGAGCTTGAGCTGGATTTAAAGGTGTATCAACAACGCTCTCATTTCTTTTGATATTGTGTTTGCGGCTGGGTTGGACTTCATACTTTTTCTTATAAGTCCTCAATATCATTTCCCAAAAATTTTCTTCCACATTTACGTGACAGCGAACTTTTTCATTAAAAAATGCAGCCATTGTAAACTATTGGAATCAATATGAGACCAATTTAATTTGAAACGAAGATGAAAAATTCGACCGTATCCCGAAAATGCTCAAAAAATTAAAGACAGTGTCTCAGAAAAACACTTAAACTTATGGTACACTGGAAAAAAAACACATTGGATCTAGAGTCCAGACTCTTAAAAACATCGACAAGAAAAAGTACTTTTGATTCAATCAGAATCAAGCTTAGAACCAAGCCTCTTAATTTAAGCGGATTTCGTTTTAATTTAAGCAAAAATCCGATCGAATCAAGAGTATTTTTTCTTGTCAATGTTTTCAAGAGTCTGGACTCCAGATCCAATGTGTTTTTTTTCCAGTGCGGGAACGGATTGAGATTTTTCCGCCAGAAAGCTAACAAAAAGCGAACTTTCACTTCCGAAAACTGTCACCCCAATTCCGACTCGCTACTTCTTTCTTAGGGTGTCGAGTCGCCCCCTCTCCTTCCTCTGTGACCCTAAAGTCCTTATTGGACGACTATTAAATACAAAAAAAAGTATTAAAACAAGTATGTATAAAAACCGCAACTGACCCATTTTCAGTACTCTCATCTCTTCTCGAGTTCAGTTCAGCATAATAGACTCGAGTCTAAAAGTTCAT